GTGGAAGTGGAGGGAAATAGAAATTGGAAGCTTATCCTCATTATTTCTCTCGAACGTTAATAGCACTACGTAACTAAACTAACCTATCGATGTCTAAAAAAAAGGAGTAGAAGAAGAAGAAGAAGAAAAAAAGAAGGAAGAAAAAAATTGAATGGTTTGAAGTATAATCAATGAGAGAAGTCAGTTATTAAAAAAGGGGCATCCGTTTAGAAATGCGTTTAGGCTCGTTAGAATCATCGTGTATGTATGTGTGTATGTGTGTGTGTGTGCGTGTGTGTGCGCGTTAAGGAAAAGGGGAGAAGCGATACTCGAGGACGATTTCGAACGAACGAAAAGAAAATGTCGAAGGCCTCTCTCCTACTCGAGGTAGGTTGCGTTTCTCTACCTGGCAGACCGTTCTAACGAATCCTGAATGGCGCCTGAAGTTAAACGGGCTTTAGGAGGGGGCCAACAATGGGTCCCTGTTGTCAGGAAGGGGCCTTCCTTCTGGAGGAACCTTTGTCATGGAACTCTTGCGTTGAACCTGAGAAGAACTCTTCTCTCTCTTTTTCTCTCTTCAGATTTTAGAAAGAGAGAGAGAGAGAGAGAGAGAGAGAGCTTTGTCGATGACTTGCTCCTCGTAAGGCATTCGCCGCTACTTCAACTCAATTTTTTCCCCTACCCAAAGCGAAAGGGCTTTCCATCTTCTTACCACACGTACCACAAACCTAAGCGCCACGTCAAAATTCTTCGCTAATGGGCGGCTCTCGTTCATGGTAGCGCCACAAGTAGGTATCCTTTGTATTTTCTTTTTTACTTTACCTTCCTTTTAATTTTCTTTTTTATTTTATTTCTTTTACTTTTTTTCCTTTTTTCTTTTTCTTTTTTTTTCTTTTTTTTTTTTTTTTTTTTAATTTATTAACTTTAAGGCGATTAAAAGGTTATGCTTGTTTGAAATTTTATTAATGATGTTTATCATCGACTTTTATAGATCCTCTATAAAAGTTTATCAGTTTGAAAAATTATACCTATGGAGTGAACTTGTTCCACCTCTCTCACTCTCTCTCTCTCTCCATCCTTCTCTCACCTTTTCTCTTTTTCTCTTCTTATTAGAAAAAATTGATAATTAAAGTAAATATCAGCTTCCTCGATGCAATTAGAATTTCAAAGTGATATTTAGTTTTATCTCAATTTGATTCGAATGAACTCGTATGATTTTATGCATCCGTAAATTAGAACGTATTTGCACGTGAACGCCTTCGAATGCATACAGAGATCAAAGGCACCTAGTTAGATTCTGTTTGGCAAAACTACTTTAAGTTAAGTGCAATTTTATGTCTTTGTACTTGTTAGATAGGCTCTAAGTAAAACTCTACTCGATCAAGCTTCTATTGATTTAAAG